AATGATGGACTTGTGGGAAGATTTGGGAGCTATGAGGAGACTGTGCGAAGGGCCATGGGTAGTAAGTGGGGATTTCAATACTACTAGGTTTCCTCCAAGAAAACCAACTGTATCAGGCTTTCTGGAGCCATGACAGATCTATCCAGTTGTATCAACGAATTGGAGTTGATTGACCCCCCCTTTATTTGGAGGATCATACACTTGGAGAGGAGGGGCAAACCATAGGAATGCCTCCAGGATTGACAGATTTTTGTACTCATTCCCATGGGATGAAATGTTCCTTCAAATTAGGCAATGTACTCTTCCTAGCTTGGGGTCTTACCATAATCCCATTGTCTTAACATGTGGGAATAATGCCTTCAGGAGATCTTATTTCACGTTTGAAAAGTGGTGGCTTAATGTAGAGGGTTTCAAAAGTAAATTTCATGAATGGTGGAGTTCCTTTGAAGTGTCAGGAAGACCGGATTACGAACTAGCTACTAAGTTGAGGCTGCTTAAAACAAAACTTAAGGAATGGAGCAGAGAGAATAGGGAAACTGGAAGTTACTCAAGAGTCTAGATCTCTTACTGATGATGAACAGATACTAAAGGTACACTTGGCCATGGAATATGAGTGGCAAAAAATGAAGAATTTTTTTGGAGACAGAGAGGTCCAGAATTCAGTGGATCAAGAATGGCGATAAAAATACAAAGTATTTCCACAGAATGGCTACAGCTCACAACTGAACCAGTGGCAATCAAGAGCTTTATTGTAGATTTTTACCACCATTTGTATAAGGAGGTAGAAAACTGGAGACCCTCACTAAATATTCTTAATGTACAGAGAATAACAATGGAGGGGCAGAGCTCGTTATCTAGAGAATTCAGTGAGGATGAGGTGCTAGAAGGGATAAGATTGTGTGCTTGTGATAAGCACCTGGGCCTGATGGTTACACCATGGCCTTTTTCCAGGCATTCTCGGAAACTATAAAGGAAGATGTGATGCAGACCTTCCAAAACTTTCACTATCACCAAAGTTTTGAGAAGAGTTTCAATGCCACCTTTGTAGCTCTAATTCCTAAGGAAGTGGGGGCAAATGATCTAAGAAACTTCAGACCAATCAGTCTCATTACTGGGGTTTATAAAATAATTGCCGAAGTGTTGGCAGAAAGGCTGAAGAAGGTGATATACAAGCTAGTCAACAAAAATCAAATGGCTTTCATTAAAGGGAGATAAACAATGGATGCCACTTTAATTGCTAGTAAATGTATTGATACTAGGATTAGAGAAGATGTGCCAGGGGTAATGTGCAACCTGGATATTGAAAAAGCCTATGACCTTCCAAAGTGCCAGTCAATATATTGAAGTGAAAGATAGAGAGGTTGCCTACAGTTTATCTAGGTCTGCCATTGGGTGCTAAACATAAAGCGGTTAGCATCTCGGATGGTATACTAGAGAAATCAGATATAAGATTGGCACTTTGGAAATCCCAATATCTATCCTTGGGGGAAGAGTCACTTTGATCAATTCTATTTTAGACTCTTTGCCAACATATGTGATGTCACTTTTTCCCATTCCCGGCAAGGTAGTTAAAGCTATAGACTCATTGAGGAGATATTTCCTTAGGCAAGGTAACAAGATTGATAAGAGCTTCAACTTAGTTAAATGGATGGCAGTTCAACAGAGCAAAAAATATGGGGTTTGGGAGTAAAAAAACCTAAAGATACACAACAACAGCTTACTTACCAAATGGTTGTGGAGATACAATTTGGAAGATCAAGCTCTATGGAAGGAACTCATTCAACACAAGTATGGTCAGGAAGGTCAATAGTGTTCAGAGGAAGTGCCAGAAACATATGGTGTGGGAGTATGGAGGACTATAAGAAACCTATAACTGGCTTTTAGAGACAATGTAAGGATAAAGGTTGGCCGAGGGAATAAGGCTTTGTTTTGGAAGGAAGACTGGACTGGTCAAGGGTCCTTGGAAAATTTATTCCTAGGGTTGTTTTCCATTTGCCTGAATCCTGATAGCAAAATACAAGATGTTTGATCTCCACAAGGATGGAATTTTCCTTTTAGGAGATTTCTTAATGATTGGGAAATAGAGTGGGCATCGGATATGCTAGCTTTGATTGGAGATTATCCTGGCACAAATCTTGAAACGGATAAATTGCTATGGAGGCATCATACTAATGGTCAATTCTCTGTGAACAGAATGTATAAAAGGGATCTAGCCACAAATCACAATTGTAGGGAAGAAATCAGGGTCATGGAGTGCTATATGGAAGAGTGTAGCCCCTATTAAGGTGAAGTGTTTCACTTGGTTGGTAATCAGGAGAGCTTGCCTGACACATGATAAACTTCAAAAGAGGGGAAGAAATATTGCCTCAAGATGTTATCTTTATAAAGAGGCTCTAGAAACCAACAATCACTTGTTCCTCCACTGCAAAGTAACAACAAAAGTATGGGCTCTATTCACCAATTTAGCTGGCCTAAATTCCAGCTAAATTGGATTATGCTAGAACATACAACAGACCTACTAAGTTGTTGCGTCAGAAGGGGAGGTAGTAAGAGCTAGAGGAGGTGGTGGAGAACAATACCTGCTTGTATCTGGTGGATCATTTGGAAGGAGAGAAATCAGAGAATTTTGTAGGGAAAGAATGCACTATAGAGAAGATTAAATGGAAAGTAATTACCACTTTTAAGTTTTTGGTGTAAAGAAATGGACATAGAAGAAGAAATTCAACTAGTGGATTTCATAGGAGCTTTGTAACTAACTCTTTTGGAGGTGGCTAGCATAGCCCTAATGCTGAGAAATACAAAGTTGTCAGTTTCAAAAAAAAATAATCTTGTTACTTCAAATGAGCTTGATAGTGACTTGAGTGTGAATATTAGACCATGTTTTGGTGAGATTGATGATTTTTTACTTTGTGTTTGTATTCAAATGGATGATCATCATACACTAGTTGAATATGATTGTGTGGAGCTAAAATTATTATTGATTTTCTTTTTTTGTTGTTGTTTCTATGTAACTAACACTTTTGGAGGTGGCTAGCATAGCCCTTAATGCTGACTGCTGAGGAATACAAAGTTAACAGTTTCAAAAAAAAAAAAATCTTGTTACTTCAAATGAGCTTGATAGTGACTTGAGTGTGAATATTAGACCATCTTTTGGTGAGATTGATAATTTTTTACTTTGTGTTTGTATGCAAATGGATGATCATCATACACTAGTTGAATATGATTGTGTGGAGCTAAAATTGTTATTGATTGTGAGCTTAAAAGGTTTCAAGCTAGTGATATGTCAAATATGGGAAAACATGGTGTTTTATTGAAATCTTGTGATAAAGATGAAATCATTTCCCTTTTAGCTACTAGAAACACTTAAAAATGTGATTGATGATGAATGTCTCTTGGCAAGCGAATTTGATTGTAACAATTATTTATCTTGTAAGGACATGGATATGCTTTGTGGTAGTACTCTTGCAATGGAGCATGAGGAGTGTGATGACATCCTTTTTGAGCCTAATAAATATCAAAATTTCAAAATATTTGACAATCCTTTATTTGGTGAAAATATTCAAGAAGGTTTCCTTGTTGATTTATGTGCACTTAATGAAAGTGGTTATCAAAATTTGAAGAGTGAATCGCTTTTAAATAAAAAATAATACCTATTAGAGGGCTCATTTGTGTTTTTCTCTCGGAGCATGTTATCAAGGCAGCTAACGTGCACCTACTGTAAATGCAAATGGCCACTACAGAAATGAACAGCTGCTCGCCGGGGAAGATGGCAAACACCACAGGATGGAAGTAGATGCATACTTTCTCCTCTCACTTTTGGTATCTTCCTCCCTCAAAAATTTCGATCCATCCCGGAAGAGGTTGAGGATTCTTGTTTGGATGTAGACTCCTCCTCCTCCTCTGTACACCTCCAAAGTTTTGGTACCTCGTGTCCAAATAGGAAATTACAATTTTTTGGAGTCACTATAGCTACTAATCCTCAAGTAAAGAAGGAAATTACGGAAAATAAGAAGCTAGGTCAGGGGAAAGTGCTGACTTATATTCCTCCGATCTCAAAAGATGGTAAGGTCTATGTGAACATCAATGAAGAAGATTTGATGGTGCATATGAACTACTGGCAAAACTCGTTGATTGGGGGTGCATATGAACTACTGGCAAAACTCGTTGATTGGGTATGTTATTGATGACATGCCATACCTAAAATCAATCCAGAACTATGTTGCCAACATATGGAACTGTGAGATTATGCCACAAATCTTACTCCATGATGCTGGGTATTTTATTTTCTGATTCAATTCCACTGGAGACTGGGATAGGGTTCTATTAAATGGTCCTTACATGTTTCACAACAAACCTTTTATGGTTCAGCAATGGGAAATTGATTTTGTGTTTGATCCAAATTGCATAACCACTATGCCTCTATGGATCACTATACCAGGTCTACCTAGTGGGCTACTGGTCTTGTGAGGCTTTGAGCAAAATAGCTAGTGGCATTGGGCAACCAAAGCATACTGATCAGTTTACAGCAAGCATGGAACGCATCTCGTATGCTCGTATATGTGTTGAAGTTGAAGTATCACAACCTCTGATTGAATTCATTGAGATAACAACAACAACAACAACATACCCAGTGAAATCCCACTAGGTGGGCTCTGGGGAGGGTAGAGTGTATGCAGACCTTGCCACTACCTCGTGCGAGGTAGAGAGGCTGTTTCCGAAAGACCCTCAGCTCAGGTGCATCAAATCCAAGTAAAAGGAGAGGAAAACAGTGTATATACATACCATCCAATACAAAAGATAGTATACAATCAACAAAGGAAGATAGTAACATCAATAAACAAAGAGAGAAGTGAAACGCATTAAACAACATAAGGCTATCGATATCACAGACAAGAACTGCAAGTGCAAGACTAGGACTACTACACACGCTAACAACCCCTACCCTTGCAAGGAGAGACAACACGCTAGCCCTACTAACCTTCAACTTTAATACGCGACCTCCACTCCTTCCTATCTAGAGTCATGTCTTCGGTAATGTGAAGCTGAGCCAAGTCCTGTCTAATCACCTCTCCCCAATACTTCTTAGGCCTACCTCTACCCCTCCGCATACCCTCTACAACCAGCCCCTAACACCTCCTCACTGGGGCGTCTGCGCACCGTCTCTTCACATGACCAAACCATCTCAGTCTCGCTTCCCTCAGCTTGTCCACCACAGAGGCCACTCCCACCTTCTCCCGGATAACTTCATTCCTAATCTTATCACTCCTAGTATGCCCACACATCCATCTCAACATCCTCATCTCCGCAACCTGCATTTTTTGAACATGTGAGTTCTTGACTGGCCAACACTCCGCTCCATACAACAAGGCCGGTCTAACTACCACTCTGTAGAACTTACCTTTAAGTCTAGGTGGAATTTTCTTATCACACAAGACTTCAGAGGCAAGCCTCCATTTCATCCAAGCAACCCCAATGCGATGTGTGACATCATCATCGATGTCGCCACTTCCTTGTATTACAGACCCAAGATACTTAAAACTTTCTTTCTTAGGAATGATCTGTGTGGCAAGTCTCACTTCTACATCTGCTTCATCCAACGCATCACTGAATTTGCACCCCAGATATTCTGTTTTGGTCCTACTCAACTTAAACCCTTTGGACTCAAGCGTTTGTCTCCACACCTCCAACCTCGCATTAACTCTGTCCCGCGTCTCATCAATCAGTACTATGTCATCCGCAAATAACATACACCATGGGACCTCCTCCTGAATAGACCGCGTCAACTCATCCATCACCAAAGCAAATAGAAAAGGGCTAAGGACTGATCCTTGGTGCAACCCCATCTCAACTGGGAAATGTTCCGAGTCACCTCCAACCATTCTAACCCGAGTCTTGGCTCCACCGTACATGTCCTTTATCGCCCTAATATAAATCATCGGGACACCTTTAGCCTCCAAGCACCTCCAGAGGACATTCCTCGGTACTTTGTCATAGGCCTTTTCAAGGTCAATGAACACCATATGTAGGTCTCTCTTCCTTTCTCTATATTTTTCTACCAGTCTTCGCATAAGATGAATGGCTTCGGTCGTCGACTGTCCCGGCATGAATCCAAACTGATTCTCAGAAATGGCCACCCCTCTTCTCACCCTCATCTCCACCACTCTCTCCCAAATCTTCATAGTATGGCTTAGCAATTTGATACCCCTGTAGTTGTTACAGTTCTGGATATCACCCTTGTTTTTATACAACGGAACCATTGTACTCCACCTCCATTCATCAGGCATCTTTGCTGTCTTAAAAATAACATTAAACAACCCAGTCAACCACTCTATACCTGCCTTGTCCGTGCTCTTCCAAAAATCCACCGGAATCTCATCGGGTCCGGTCGCTCTTCCCCTGCTCATCCTACTAATAGCACGTATAACCTCCTCGCTCCTAAAACACCTGCAGTACCCAAAGTCCCGAAGTCTTTCCGAGTGTGCCAAATCACCCAACACAATGTCTCCGCCCCCTTCTTCATTTAGAAGTTTGTGAAAGTATCTTCGCCATCTCTGCTTAATGGAGGTCTCATCCACCAATACTTTGCCTTCCTCATCCTTGATACACTTTACTTGGTCCAAGTCGCGCGCCTTTCTCTCTCTTGCTTTTGCGAGCCTATACAATTTCTTATCCCCACCTTTGTCCCCCAGCTCGACATACAAGCGCTCGAAAGCTACCATCTTAGCCTTCGTAACTGCTAACTTAGCTTCTGTCTTCGCTGTCTTATAGACTTTCTTAAGCGACCGCTTCTCTTCCTCGTCTATGCACTCCACCAACTTTGTGTATGCAGCCTTCTTCGCTTTCACTTTGCCTTGGACTTCCCCATTCCACCACCAATCTCCTTTACGACCTCCAAATTTACCCCTTGATACCCCTAACACCTTTGAAGCAACTTCCCTAATGCAACTAGTTGCTTTATTCCACATGGTGTCCGCATCCCCGCTACCACTCCAAGCCCCCATCCCACTCAACTTCTCACCCATCTCCCGAGAAAGGTCAGGGGTCAAGCCACCCCATTTAATCCTCGGTCGATCAGATACAATCTTCTTCCTCTTAATTTCCAGGTCCATCACCAAAAGCTTGTGTTGGGTAGTAACATTTTCACTTGGGATAACCTTGCAGTCCTTAACGAGGCCTCTATCACCCTTCCTAAGGAGTAGGTAGTCTATCTGAGTCTTAGCTACCGAGCTACGAAAGGTAACCATGTGGTTCTCCTTCTTCGGAAAGCATGAGTTAGCAATCACTAACTCAAAAGCCTTAGCAAAATCCAGAAGCGCAGTTCCACCCCCATTTCTCTCCCCAAAACCAAAGCCTCCATGAACATCATCAAGGCCATTAGAAGTTGCCCCGATATGGCCATTAAAATCTCCACCAATGACAATTTTCTCGGTTATCGGTATACCTCTAACTACCTCATCGAAATCCTCATAAAAGAGCTTTTTGGCCTCCTCTCCCAATCCCACTTGAGGTGCATAAGCACTAATAACACTCAAAGTACATCCTCCAATGACTAGCTTAATCAACATCAACCTATCACTGATCCTCCTAACCTCCACCACTTGCTCCCTCAAATCCCCGTCTACTAAAATACCCACTCCATTTCTATCCCTAGAGCCTCCTGAGTACCACAACTTAAACCCGTCGACATCCCGAGCCTTGGAACCTACCCATCTAGTCTCTTGGACACAAGCTATATTAATCTTTCTCTTCTTGAGAATTTTCACTAACTCTAAGGACTTCCCCGTTAGCGAACCTATGTTCCAAGATCCTACCCTCAATTTATGGGAACCCGTAACCCACTTACCACTATTCTCCCTCGTCCTCGGCCTCAACCGAAGACATGACTCAAAACCACCATCAGGTACCAAATCCACTTGAAAACTACTGAATCTAATGTAAAATCTACATAGGAATACACTTCAAACAGAAAAAAATAATAATTTCTGCAACAGGTGTATACTCTAAAAGACCAGATAGCAACAACTAAACTAAAAGATCAAGTATAGTGTATTCTCCAAAAGACACGATAGCACAACTATATTATACGCTGAAGCACTGATCGGAACTATAAAAGAAACAAGCAAGAACTGATCTGAAAAATATGAGATGGCGCCCTGATATGAGCTAAAATGCTAATCAGAACCAGCCACAAAAATTTAAACAATCCAAATAATCAGAAGTATTGCACAATGCACAATCAGGTACCTTAAAAATCTACTCCTATGCTCTTCAAATTATTGAAAGTAGGGTGTGATTACCTCCAAGCAAGACTAAATTACTTAACAAGAGGGTTTCAATGAAGAAAACAAGGTAGATAGAACCTGGTCGGTGGAGATGGAGGGCTTCGGTGGTCTTAGGGCTTTTTCCGGCCAGATCTGGTCGGTCTCACCTGTGAATGCCTTGCCTGCCCCGGAGTTGGCTGTTCGCAGCAGCGAGCAGCTGGAGGTCCTGTTTGTTGATTTCGTACTCACTGGAACAACGAAGAACAGAGAAAGAAGCTCGCCGGTCGGAGCTGGTCCTCGCGATGCTTCTGGCCGGCGCAGCCTTTGCTTACCGGCGCGATAAACGTATCGGCGGCGGCGCCCGGTTTCCAACTGGTTTTTGCGGCTGCTCGCTGACCGTCGTTGGTCGGCGCTTCGCCTGAGGGATCGTTGAAGAAGAAGAGGAACGTTGGTGCAGTAGAAAGAGAGAGAGAGAGAAGAGAGATTCACAAACATATATTGAATTCATTGAGATGATTACGCCAATTGGCACGTTCCATCAGCCTGTAGGTAGAATATGATTGGAAACCCAAATTTTGCGGGAATTATCTTAGATTTGGCCATCAAACAGATGAATGTAGAGTGTGCCAGGACAAGCCACCAGAAGAGGAGTTTAATGAGGGCCCAAGTAGAAAGAGAAGGAATGAGGAAAGGCCATAATAGTCCCTCATCTTTGGGTTAAGGCTCAAAGTCATCCTTGAGTTTTCACATGGAGCACTAATAGTCCCTCATGTTTGCAATACTGGTGCACTTTTGGTCCTCCTCCAAAATTTTGCCTATTTTTTAACATTGATTTTATCCATAACTTATGTATGATCTGTTCAATCGTCATTTTATATATTTAGTAGAAATAATAACTCCATATGAGAGAATGTAAGAAGAAAAACATCTTGTTTTGTTTAGTAGAAATTGTGCTCCATGCGAAAACTCAAGAATGACTTTGAGCCTTAACCCAAAGATGAGGGACTATTTTGAGTCTTTCCTCAGAAGTAATAGACGAAGGAGACCTGTGCAGCAGGGGTGGAAAGCAAATGAACCTCCCAAAGAAGTAGTTAAAAATGACGTGCAACAATTACTACTACAGCTCTAGAAGACAGAATTCAAAGCATGGTGGAACGACCAATGCAAGGTGAACCTAGTACTTCCAGGGGTGGGAACAAGTGCACACCACTGTTGAGCTTGGCAACTGAGGGGGATACACAAGGGACCTGGCGAAGTTCCAAAGTTAGTATGATTATTTCTACCTGGAATGTGAGGGGACTAAATCAACCCCTCAAGCAGAAAGAGCTCAAACTCTTTCTCCAAAAGCATAAAATTGATCCGTTAGGTTGTTTGGAGACTAGAATCAAGCAATTCAAGTCCCAAACCATCCTTAATAAGGTGGCACATGGATGGAACTCAAAGTGTAATTACCCAGAAGCTGTAAATGGTCGAATTTGGTTGCTCTGGAGATCTACTACACAGGTGAAGATTTTGGAAACAAATGAACAATTTATGCAATGCTACGTGGAAAATCAATCTGGATCTCTCAAAGCCTATGTTACTATTGTTTATGCCAGAAATACAGCTACTGAAAGAACTCCACTATGGTCTGCTCTAGTGAGAATGGGGGCTACAATCACAGACCCCTGGGTGTTAAGTGGAGATATCAATTCAGTAATGAGTTCATTTGATAGATTGGGCTCTGACATCTGTTGAAACCCAGGATTTTAGAGAATGTCTTCACATACTGCAACGTACTATACTGAGGTCGAAAGGTTGTTTCTATTCCTTTTGTAAGAAACAGGAGCTGGGTCAAAGGGTGTACTCAAGAATTGATTGGACTTTGGGAAATTATCAATGGCTTCAAGACTATGGGAATGTTGAAATAGACTACATTGCACACCAGTTGTGACCTCTAGGACAAAGCCATTCAAGTTATTTAAGACTGTCCTAGATCATCCTAATGTGCAATATCATCATCAATCTTTCTGTCTCCTTGGTTTATGGACCCGAGATACTTAAAGCTCCCTTTATATGGTATGATTTCTGCATTGATCTTCACTTCCACCTCCGTCTCATGTGTTACGTCATTAAACTTGCACTCCAAGTACTTTGTTCTAGTCTTGCTTAACCTAAAACTTTTAGACTCTAGGATTTGATTTGACCATATATGTGAGCTAGATTTCCAACATGATTTTGCAAGCTCTAGAAGTTGTTCCACTTGACCAAGATAATAGTAGAGAAGAAGTTGTGAGTAAGGATTAAATCAATGTTTTTCCCCAATGTTCTAAGGGAACCATTTAATCCACAAAAAGAGGGATCAAATCCTACCTATGTAATATTCCCCACTCCCTTCCCCATCTTCTTTAGGGACCCCCCCCCCCCCCATTAAAGATTGTTGTTACTTTCCTTCCAACCTCCTCGCTTCCAAACCTCTCAAGTTCATTTTTCCTTTTCCTTATTGCACTTTACAGATCTTAATTTCTGCTTCTAGGAATCTTCTGCTTCTTTGTGCATTTTAGGTACCAGTATTTTAGTATAGAACATATAGACAATCTTGCCAGACTATTGCAAGTGTTGGTATGAGAAACAACAAGTTTTCAATTCCCTTACACAAGTATTTATTCCATACAGGGCTCACTCATATTTTACACAACAATATCAATAATAAGAGAAAAACCATGTTGTATATGCGAGACCAGAGAATATAAATGGTAAAACCTCATAAAGATTGTTCATGCCTCTTATACAACTTAATCAAGTATATGTTAATACAATTTTAGAAAAACAATGAATCAAACTAGAAAATCACCTGTCTCAGAGATGGTCCTCCACACAAGGCCAAAGCATTGTCCTGGCAAGAACAAGGAGTTTCAAACTGTTTGATATCAAGCTTTTTGTTAAAAACCCAACTTGAAAGTAAATACTCCCAGAAGATGGAAAATCCACACGGATCTCATTCACACTTTATCACAACAAAAATATCTTAACTTCAATTCCTTCTAAATCAGTAATCGATCCAGTAACCTTGTCAGGGTAATAAACCAAATATTCAAACTCCACATAACAAGGCTTCTACAGTAAAACTTCAAAGGTTCCATCATCGGAAAGAGAGTAAGATTTTACAAAGCATGGTAAAAGCCCTTGAGGAAGGCTGAATTTTGTGAGGATTTCGTAAACAGTTGTGTTGGGGTTGAATGATGTTTGCCAACCTTGATAATATGGTGTTGAGTAATTGCTTCATCCAACCAGATAGAGATTAATTCTCTGAGAAGGCTACCATCATTTTTATCTTTAGTTAACATTAGCTAAGGGAAACAGCCTGTGCCACTACTTGTCCTTTCTTCTCAATAAATTTCTCAGAAAATTGGCATTCTGTTGAGGTAAGTTCTTAATTAAGAAAGTAAAACAGAAACGATGAGTCAAACCTAGAAAAGGAGGAGGCATCCAGATAACAAATTCTCCAATTCCTTATTTATCTTTTGTTGCGAAGAAGTTTGAGCAGTAGAATTGGAGCTCTGTCAAAGCCAGTCAGAGAGACAAGACAAGAAACAATGAGTAAACCAAGAGTCCATGAGTAAAAATTAGAATCTGGAGAAAACAATTTCTTATGATCTTGCTATGGGAACAATATAGAACCAACTCTACAATAGAACAAGGACTTGCAAGAACTGGAAATACAAGAGCATTCACGGGGAACAAATTAAAGCAGCTGAACAAGGAAATTAACAAGACACTACAGCACTAATTACCACCAAACCTTGAAAGTTAATCAGCGACATGGTTTGACAATGAAACTAACATATGTAAACGTTATTATTATAATCCCACCTATGTAATATTCTCCTCTCCTTTCCCCTTCTTCTTTAGGACCTCTATAGAGGACCCCATTAAACTAACATATGTAAATGTTACCTTTCTTCCAACCTCTCAAATCCAATTTTTCCTTTCCTTATTGTCCTTTAGAGATCTTAATTTCTGCTTCTAGGAATCTTCTGCTTCTTTGTGCATTTTAGGTGCCAGCGTTTAGTCTACAATATAGAACCGTATACACAATCTTGCCAGACTATTGCAAGTGTTGGTATGTGACACAACAATTTTTCAGTTCCATTTATTCCATGAAGAACCATGTTGAAATATACGAGACAACTTGATCAAGAATATCTAAATACAATTTTAGAAAAACAATGAATCAAACAGAATGGAACTTGAAAATCACCTGTCTCAGAGATGGTCCTCCACACAACGCCAAACCATTGCCCCGGCAAGAATGAAGTGTTTCAAACTGTTTGTTAATGAAGCTTAACTTCAAGGATCTCATTCACATTTAACCACACAAAAAATCTCTTAACTTCAAATCAGTAATCGACCCAAGACTCAGTTACCTTCTCAGCGTAATAAACCAAATATTCAAGGCTTCTCCAGTAAAACTTCAAATGTTCCATCATCGGAAAGGGAGTAAGATTTTACAGAACCCTTGAGCAAGGTTGAATTTAGTGAGGATTCCGTATACAGTTGTGTTGGGGTTCGTGGGTAGATTGAAAGATAGGGAATAAGAAGATGAGAGGAGGAGGAGGAGGAGGAGGAGATTGAAACCCCCATAGAAAGAGAAGCATAGTCAGTTGGATTGAAAACCCCCATTGTTCTTTAAAGGAATATATACTGAAAGTGATGCTGTGAGTGGTTGTACATAACGGTAAAATAGTTGTACGATTAGCTGCTTCATGGAAATTGAACGTTATAAAATATGCGGCTCACATTCAAAATTTCTATTGTGTACCAATCAATAAAATTAGGTCCAAGTGGAATAAAAGTATTTAAAAAATGATACTCTCTCCCTTTATTTTAATTATTAATTATCTTAATAAAAAATAGTTGACTCATATTAGTTATTTATCTTACTATATCAAGAAAACGTTATTAAAGTTTTTCTATATTACCCTTGAGATACAATCTTTTTAAAAGTGTTCATATTTGTTTGTAAATTCCCAAAATGTTTTTTAAGGAGTTAATTAGTAAAATTATATTTCTTATTTATATATTTTAAATAGGTGTGTAAAAAGGTAAATGATCAACTAATATGATTCAAAACTTCATGCTACAGGCCTAAATTACGGTCGGTAGATGCTTCAACGACCTGTAACTGGGTCCGTAAGAATTGGACCCAAAAGATGACTTTCATAACTTTTTTCACGAGTGAATAGTATGGGTCTTACTTTGATTTATGACCCATGGATCAGGTCCGTAGTTACTAAATTTGAAAACTCTGTTGTGGTAGTCTCTAGTGAAACGGCCATAACTTTTTACCCAGAACTCTAAATGAGGCAAACTTGGTGGAAATGGAAAGAAGACTCGTAGACCTTTAATTTGATAGGTCAAAGGCTACCTAATTCATTATATACGGAGAGATATGATCGTTAAAGTTGACCCATGAACTAATGCGAAAAACTTAGCCTGTAGGAAGATTTTGAACT